GGAGTTTTAGCACTGCCTCAGGTATGAAAACTGGCTAGGTGACTTTGGGCCATTCACTAGGAGATTGGGAGTTCTAGTCCCACCTCAAGCATGAAAGTCAGTTGGATGACTTTGGGCTGATCACCAGGAAGTTCTAGTCCCCCATGAAAACTGACTGGGTGACTTTGGGCCAATCACTAGGAGACTGGGAGTTCTAGTCCCACCTCAGGCATGAAAGCCAGTTGGGTGATACTGGGCCAATCACCAGGGAGTTTTAGCACTGCCTCAGGTATGAAAACTGGCTAGGTGACTTTGGGCTATTCACTAGGAGACCGGGAGTTCTAGTCCCACCTCAAGGGTGAAAGTCAGTTGGATGACTTGGATCACCAGGAAGTTCTAGTCCCCCATGAAAACTGACTAGGTGACTTTGGGCCAATCACCAGGAGATTGGGAGTTCTAGTCCCGCCTTAGGCACAAAAGCCAGTTGGGTGATTTGGGGCCGATCATCTGGAGACTGGGAGTTCTAGTCATGCCTTAGGCACGAAAGCCAGCTGGGGGAACCTTGGGCCACATTGGAGACCGCATTAAGAAAAGTTAGACCTTGATGATCCTAATTTAGCAATGACATGGTAAGTTGATGTCTCTGGAAGCACTAGACAGGTTCTAAACCATGATCCATGCCAAATCTCAGCTTGTCCTTCATTACGGGCGATTAACCTTACAGGCAATACCTCTGTGCATAGGCACAGAGGATCCCGTTCCCTCTTCCACCCATCCTAAGCACACCTCATCCAACGGGACCAAAGGAAGGTAGAAAACTACATGAAATGCTTTGCAAGGAAGAAAAACCTAAAACATTTTTAAAAAATGCAGCCAGCTCCTGGTGTGAATCACGTGATATATTTCCCCCCGCCCCCTTTGTTAAACCCAAAGGCCAATCTGGGTTGTTTTGCAGTTTTTCTTCCTTGCAAAGCATTTCCTGTGGTTTTCTACCTTCCTTTGTGGCGTTCCTGGGCATTTCATTTATGGCAGATGTTCAGAAGCGCTATTAATCTGGATGCTTTTGTTGGCTTGGGGGAAAACACGGGCGTGAGAGAATTCAAAAAAGCAAGGCATGGTGGGTAGAGAAACCGTGGGGAGGGAAGACCATGCTTCGCCCCGACAAACTCCATTCCAACTCCGTTTTAAGAAAAATAACTTGGTTAGCCCATCCTTGTAAACATCACAGATCAGGGTTTTAATTCCCAGAATTCCCCAGCCAGAGTTGAAATCCATCCATCTTAAAATCACTAATTTGCTAACCCCAATGCTGGAGAGGCAATTTTTTATTTTATTTTTTATTTGTCAATTGCTTACAAGATAATAGGTATAAGTAAAAACATAGTTATCAATACATGGATGCATATAAGAAAAATAAAAAATAAAAAATATATATATAAAAGAAACAATAGGACAGGGACGGTAGGCATGTTGGTGCGCTTATGCACCAATTCTGGGAGTTGAAGTCCACCCATCTTAAGTTGAAGGCTACCCATTTTAAAATCACTAAGATTGCTAACTCCCATGCTGACTAGGGAATTCTGGGAGTTGAAGTCCACCGATTTTAAAGTCACTAAAGTTGCTAATCCCCATGATGGCTAG